GGAAAAAAAAATTCTGAGTCCCTCCATTGAAAAGTAGGAAAAAAGGGAGGGAGTTTGTTTTCTGGGGTTCATTTCTGTGTTAGTTGTTCCTCTTTGACAAGACCAGAATGTGTGTCTTAATGGAATTAGTTAATGTTTATATTAAAGTGTGGGGGCATTGAACAACCAAAGACATGACCAGTATTTTACCTGCTCAATCAGATTGTTTAGTTTGGAGACTGTACAGCAAAATGTTTCATGCTAACTGGATTGGTTTTAAGAGCATGGGCATGTTTGCATCAGATATGCGGGGAGCATACTTTTCAATTTGTTTCAAAGTAAGTCTTCCGTTTGGCACAAAACACTGGAGATGCACAAAAATTGTTTTAACGTATCAGTTGTGATTTGCCCCAAATACTTTCTACCTGCCCTTCCCTTTTGTTATCTTATTGTTATGTCACCCCTTTTTTTCAACTACTATTAAGAGGACCTCATCTCTACCTTTAATCTAGTTTTAAAACTCTATAGAGAAACTGTGATGCCGGCATTCTCTAATATACTCGTACAAATAGGATGTTTGAATGAACTGTTGTAAAATAATGTGACAATGCCAAAATGGAATGTTGTTGTTCCATTTGTTTAGTTGTAGTGAGAGGAGGTTGGATTTGAATCTCAAGTCAAAATGTTGTTTGTTCTTGCAACAATGTACAAAGTTTATGAATCATTGTAACCTGATGTAATATCTCATATCTGTACTCATTCAGAACAATACAAGCAAAAACATGAAAACTGAATTGCTTACATCATTTTACCTTGAATTATTAAGTTTTCATGAAGTTGGTACAAAATATCTTACAAAAGTATATTTATTGGCAGAAATTAACACAACACATCTTTTTATTCATGAAGCAACTTGAGGTGCACAGGGATAGTGTTTTTGCCAATCAGTGGGAATGACTAGAATATCTTTTGAGAGAGCAGGCGCGTATCCAATGGGCAGTCAAGCAGGTCATTACCTCCGAACGCCCTTATGACGCCTGTCGGGTAGGCAATTTGCAGCGCACGTCACCTGTAAGTAGGCAAAAGGTGCTGCATGACTTACCGCGTCACGAAATCCTGGCAAAACGCTTGAGAGAGAGAGAGAGAGAGAGAGAGAGAGAGAGAGAGAGAGAGAGAGAGAATGAGTTTTGTCAGCCGAACCTAGGCCTGCTTGAGGTTGAGGCTTATGGTGCCCACGCTCATCCTGTCGAGGCGCTCCATGCTCACAGACGCCTTCTTGTTGGCTTGCCGCCTCCTCAGCCAGGCCCCCACGAGCGGCGTGTGCGCGTCGGGGTCGGCCTTGTCCGGGTCACAGGGGCCCGTCAGGAGGGACACGATGGAGCCCACCACCATGACGATCATCCAGCCGAACAGCGCCACGTACAGGAAGGACAGCCGGTAGATGGGCAGAATCGTGGGGCTGGAAGTGGGGAAGTGCCGGTGAGCGACAAAGCATGCACGGGAAGAGCCGCGGCGGCGGCGGTGCGTCGCGACGCACAGAGGGCGGAAGTGAAGCACTTACTCCATCGTGGGGCTCGGCGTGGCCTGCAGCGGAGGGTCGCAGCCGCTCACTTTGACGGGCAGGGTGGGGTAGTTGAGGCGTCCCTGAATGGACATGAGCTCGTTGCCGACGGAGATCCAGCCCATGATGATGAGGGAGGCGATACCCCCCGTGAGCGCGCCCTGCGGAAGGGAACGGAGGAAGCTGTGATGCAGTTCTCTCTCACGCCGACAGATAGCGACGCAAAGATGTCACTCAGCGGCCGACGCCCGCTATGTACCTGACTTTCAATCAAGGTGTGGTCTGCTCTAGATCCACTTCCCCCTCGTCTTATGTTGAAGGTTTAACCTTTCAATTTTCTCGTGCAGGTCGCCTCCGGGTGACCTAATAATTTCTATCTCAAATCTCATGGAATCCTTTACCCGGGGAGAAATCCCTACGATTTCGTCTGCCGGTGCCTCTTAGTCGAGTTTTCGCGCGGCGCCTGAGATCGCAGCTCGTTGACTCTATCACTACGGCCCGTTACCCCCCACCGCTCAAATATACGCGAGATCTCCATCTCCTTGCCCTTACCTTCCAGTTGGCCCACGGGTTAAACATGCCCAGGGAGGTGATGCCGAACTGCGTACCGGCTGCGATGCCCATGAGCGTCATGGCCACCTGGATCATGTACTGCAGGCCCGACATGGCCATGGTCATCCCGGTGCAGAGCACACCCAGAGCGACGCAGGCGATCTTCGCGAAAACGGCACCCTGGAACTCCGTCATCTCTTTCTTGGCGAAGGGCCTCCAGAGGTCGTCCAGGACCACGCCGGCGGACGAGTTGAGCGCCACGGAGATGGAGCTGAGCGCGGCGCTGAGGACGCCGGCCATGAACAGTCCCGGCAGCCCGTGCAGGCCCTCCTCGATCCTCATGACGAACAGGGGCACGATCTGGTCGCTCGTCGCCACAAGCTGAGGACAGGACAGGGTTCCAGGGTGGTGAGGCTGGGTTCTCAACGACAGGTTGCGATGCTCGGAACTTGGGAGAGGGGGAGGGGGATCTACTTAAGACAATGGGCATTATGGGCAATGGTAGTAAAAGTGCCGATGCAAAAGGTGTGTTTTTGAACTGACATTGGCCTGGAGCGGATCACACTCCTTGAAGTACACGAACATGACGAGTCCTATGTAGGTGCAGAACGTGATGATTCCAATGACGCCCACCATGAAGATGTACGCAGTCCTGGAGGCAAAGGGACGCGATATTACAGCAACAGGCCGGGGCGACCTCCTCGGAAGTTGTTGGTTGGTCCGCGACTCACGTTCGAGCCGCCTTTAGCGTCGGGACTGAGAGGTAGCGCTGCACGCAAGTCTGGTTCACCGCGTTGTACCCGGTCCAGTGGAAGAAGCCCCCGACGACCGCGGCCAGGAAGGACGTCCGCTCGAGGGGGTTTAGAGTCATGCTGTGATGGGGTGGGAACAATGCAGGACGGTGAGCACGAGTGCGTGATTGCGTGATCGACCCCCGTCCGAACCAACACCCGCTGCGGTGACTTACTTGAAGAACTCGAGCCTCCCGCCTTTGCCCGCCTCCTCCCACACGGCGTGCCAGCCGCCGACGGCCGCGGTGCCCAAGACGGCGATGATGATGAGAGGCAGGCAGAAGATGACCATCTGGATGGCGTCGGTCCAGATCACCGCCTTCAGCCCACCCTTTTCGTTTCGTTCGTAAAAAGTGAAATTTAGTAAGACGTCGTCGGAAATACTCCGTGGTCGGAAGTACAGGGGGTGCCTCAGTCCCAAAGTCCCCGTACTTTTAGTTGGTGATATTGTATACCGCTCTCACATATGTGGGCGGGTTGTCTACTCTGTCGGCGCCATTAAGGCACCACGTTAAGTAGCGGTAGGCAAGTTCGCACGCACGCCTGCGTGCGTTGCAGTATTACCAAATAAATTCACGGAGTCTATGAGGCACCCTCCTGCACCCTGTATGTTTGCCTGGGTTTGACTCGTATTTAATCGACACTGAGACGTACCAAAGTTGTATAGGTGACGGTGACAATCATAACGATTAGGGCAATCCAATTCCGGGGGTACCCAGTCACTGTAAATGTATGACATTTTGGAAACATTATAACGCAATGTAGAAAATCACTTCAAAAATCGCTTTATAAAAAAGTAGGCTTGTGAAGTGTGTTGCAGAAAATAATTACCTTGCTCTAATGCAAGACATGGGACGTAGGCGTACAGTGGAATTGTTAGAAT